CAAAAAAAAAAAAAAAAAAAAGATTAAGTATTAGAATAAAGGCATTTACTTTTGTAAAATGCTGGGATTTGGTCTTAATAAGGCCTTTTATTGTGAATTAGACATTTTAAATTTAAAAGTGTATTTAGAAAATATTTCTTTCAAGAAGCTCTTGCTAATTTGATTAAAAAATACAGTGACAGATTGATTTTTTTTATTATTGGAGTTATAATCTGTTGTTGAGCTTGTGTTAGATGTCTTAACCAGGACCAAGAGTACATATGTGAGAAGGTAGAGTTGAGTGCTCACACTGGCTTTTGTGCCACTGATCCACATTCTAGTAGTTTCCAGTTTGCTGAAAGCTTAAATGAAAAGTTCATTATGATTGTTAATATATTTCTGATGAATACAACATTTTCTAACAAGTGGAAAAAAAAGTGCTTTTTTCCTTTTTTCTGGTGTCCTTGGAATAAGAAAACCTTTGAGGTCCAGGGATTTAGCTCGGTGGTTCCACCGCCTGCCTCGCAAGCACAAGGACCCGAGTTCGATCCCCGGTACGAAAAAGAAAAGAATACCTTTGAGCTGAATCTCCATCGCTTCTAGAGCCATTTGTTTACCCGTGTTTTTGAGCCACTGTAGTAGTGCTGTGATGTTGTGCAGATTCCTGCTCCCCAGTGTTTACGCTCACCACTCGTTGTGTGGCTTTGTCTTTGCGTGAGTGGCCAGTCATTTGAAACAGTCTGCACAGTAAATCTGTATTTTAGGTACTCGTGAGTTTTGTAAACATCATCCCCAACTTTGTCATCTGAAAATCATTTGGCCTGGTACCCTGAAGTCCACTCAGGGGTAGGCAAATAGGAAATATGGCAAAGAAAACATTGGAGCTAACTTGTAGGCTCATTGGAATGAACTGATCAGAATCATTTCTGTCATTCCAGGAGAAAATTCATCAACCAAATCAGAGTTATTGTATAATTTACACAAGTTGTATTTAATTGTTCTCTTGTGGGGGCATACGAGGGTAAAGTGACTTGATATCATTTCTGGTTGGTCAAGATTATCTTTTGAGTATTTCAGATATTAAAAAGTACACTAGGACATGAGTTACGGTAAAACCTTGCTCTCTGAGCAGAATTCATTCTGGAAACAGGCTTGTAATCCAAAGCACTTGTACATCAAAGCAAATATCCTCATTAAAAATAATGAAAACTCTGATGATTCATTTTGCACCCCAAAAATATTCATATAAAATGATTACAGTACTGTAATATAATATAAAATAATAAAGAAAATACAAAGAAAAACAAATTAACTCACACTTACTTTGAAAATCTTTGTGGCTTGAGGGAGGGAGGCAAGAGAGGAACGTTACTGTGCAGGACGACTTTAACCCTCACAGAATCACTGCTGTCTACTGGCTCCGATGGAATCTTTCTTTGTGCACAACTTTAGTGAGGAACCTATCCAATGACACTTGCTTTTGACTCCTTTTGAGGATTTCACAGAAATGTGACATTGCAGTTTAAATTTATTAGAAATGTTTGCATGTCTTGCAGGACATTCTTAGAACTTGTTACTTGAAATCCAAGGTTTTACTGTATTTTGTTCTTTGCCATCATAAACCATAATTTAATCTGCTAAAACAAATTTTTCATTACTTGTCAGTAATTTATTTGAATTATATTAGACCTTTATTATGACTAATTTAAGCAGAACATTTTATGTACTTCTTATAAAGACAAAACTTGAATGGAAGTGCCGATTTTATATTAATTTCTCTTGAACAATGTATATTCTATATTCCCAAAAAATCAAATACTTAAATTATTTATTTTTAAGCTATATCTTATGTAGATTTAAAGTTCTTTTTAATGCAAAATAAGGCTTTATGTACCCAGAGGTTGGTGATAATTTTGTTACCTTTTGTCATTCATTGTTTATTGTCAACTCAAAAGTCTTTGAAAGTATAAAGGACTGCAGAAACGACTTTTTTAAAACTTTTGATATAACATGTTATGGAACACTTAAATTGCTAGAATAAGAGATGCATACATTTTAAGTTACTGTTGAGCTTGTAATCTGTGTAACTATTTAGAAACGACATTTATTACAAACCTCATCTCTTGACTGTAGCCTGACTTTCATCATTGCCTCTACCCTCCAGTTCCTCACTTCTAGTCTGATAATTCTTCTAATTTGTCATCATGGCTGATTGCAACTTTGAGAAACAGTACCAGTAAAGCTTTTTTTTTTTTTTTTTAACTACTTAGAGCCATCTGGAAGAATTAGATCCAGAATCCTTTTTTGGTTTAATTTTAGTAGTTTGATGCAAATAAGTTTAAAAAAATACCATAAACAAAAAGAAATATAAAGCAGTATCTCACCCACACACAAAATGGCCATCCTGGTAGTGTCGGGTATGTCCTTCCTGGGGCACATACATACATACATACACAGCAGTGCCTCTGTAGATAGTGTACTCATGTTATTTTGGTTTTGGTACCAGGGATTGAATTTGGACCTTGTGTTTGCAAGGCAGGCGCAGCACCACTGAGCTAAATCCCTGGGCCTCATGTTTATATTATTAGAACTTTTGAATCTCTTACCAGATCCCTATAATGGACATTTCTGTGGTTTTGCAAAATTGTGTATAACTTCAATTTGCTAAATATTGATTTATTTGGGTACATTATTTATATCAAGGTTGTTCAGTGGAATGTCATATGTTGGTCTTTTTATCAGGTAATGAGGCTTACTCCTTTCCTTTGTGCAAATCAGCCTGCAGAACTTGACACTTCAGTACAGAAGAAAAGTGTCTTCTGGTTCAGTCCTTTTAAAATTCTGTAGCAGTGTTGAAAGTGCTTGTCATCGCTTATAAAAAAAATTGATTGTGCATGAATACAAAAAGATTACTGAATATGTTGACCTATCCAGAAAATTAGGAAAATGCACACATCACAAGGCTAATTTACCTTTCTATTTCCCAAATTCAGCATGTCCCAAATTACCATACAACAAGGAGACAAGCCCTTCTTTCTACTTTGCCAGTGAGTTGGGTTTTTTATACTAATTTTATTGTACAGTAAAACACTTTTTAAAGAATACTTGTTAAGGGAGCAGACTTGTACAATATTTTCCTTGTGCCAGACAAAATCATTCAAAGATTGTACATCTATAAATTCAGTTTTGAAAAAGGACATATAACCCAGCTTAAGAAAGCTGGAGTTAAAAATTAAGTTGGTTCAGAAATTAATTTTTGCATACCAAGCAAACACATAACTATTTAGGAAATGCCTAATTTCCCTTATTCAGGGAAACTTTTCCTGAATAGCTAATAATTTTTATACCAAGCTATAAGGTTAGGTATGTAGAACTTAACACATTTGTTTCCTTAGTAAAAGAAAAAAACCTGTACTAACTAGGAATTTTAATAGAAGGTAGAGTTGATGAGATGATAGAGGAAAACACTTCTGTCTTTTCAGTCTTTGCCTGGCTAAAGGTTTAAAGTTAGTGGTGTATGGCTGAAATCTCAGCTACTAGGGAGAAGGGGGCAGGGGAATTAAAAGTTCCAGGCCAGGCCAGCCTGTCTTAATGCTATGACACCCTAACTCCAAATAAAACCGAAAGGCCTGGGGATGTAGTTCAGTGTTAGAACACTTAAGGAGTGTGCAAAAGGCCCTGTGTTCAGTCTCCATTACTACCAAAAAAAAAAAGTTTATTATACTAAAATATCAGACACATTCAGAATGTGAGCTTCATTTAACAGGAAAACATTATGTCCAGAGACTGCCTCTGGTAGCATATCGCTTTCTTCTGGACACATTGAAAAGGGAATGCTCTCTCCTAAATGGAGAAAATCTGGGCAAAGCTTTGTTTCAGAAATTGAATTTGCAAGTTAGGTCTTCATATTTATGGGGCAATTTTTTAAATAATGCGAGGGCCAGGGATTTAGCTCAGCGGTTCGGTGGCCTGCCTTGCAAGCGCAAGGACCCAAGTTCAATCCCCGGTACCCCTCAAAAATAAATTAATTAAATAAATAAATAAGGCAGGTCATGGACTTTGGTGTTTGGATAGGGAGGGTACTAATTAGTAGAAATCCTTTACAGATTTATGCAGTTAATATTGCGAGGTGCGAGGGCCAGGGATTTAGCTCAGCGGTTCGGTGGCCTGCCTTGCAAGCGCAAGGACCCAAGTTCAATCCCCGGTACCCCTCAAAAATAAATTAATTAAATAAATAAATAAGGCAGGTCATGGACTTTGGTGTTTGGATAGGGAGGGTACTAATTAGTAGAAATCCTTTACAGATTTATGCAGTTAATATGTGGCATTTTGTGTGATACTGTATTCTAGAAGTTACTAAGGATTAAAATTCTTATATCAGGGAATTTTGAAAACTCTTGATTCATTATCTGGCTCTACTAAATGCTAGATTTAGCATTTGGAAGCATTTTAACTTTAAATTGTCAATTGTGCCATGACTTGGTATCCAAAAATAAGTTAATAAGTATTAATTTATGTGGTGCTAGGAAATTTTAAATAATTTAATCCTTTAATAGATGCTCTTTAAAAAGGAGTCTTGCTGTATGTATATACTATTAAAAGGAAAGTGTATCTGTGACTGTAGTGTGTAAAAGACAGTGTCAGTGGTTAACTTTATTATGTGTACAGTTTGAGGTCTCAAATGTAGTTATCCTCACCATCTTACTGTCTCTGTTAGTAGTTATGGAGCATTTTCCTGGTAAGTAGCTAAATGGCCCTTCGTCATCACACCGAAGTGTTAACTGCCTCAGCACAGCTTCCCCTGAAGGGATTATCTGTATCTGCTAAAAGAAACTAATGGGTTGCTATTTGTAATTTAATTTGCTGCTTTATTTTCTCTCTAAGCCATTTTGTCATAGTTTGATCAAGTTGCCTTTTTTTCTCCTTTGAGAGTTTTCAGCTTTTGTACATATGTACTTTTCAGAACTTACCATTACATTTAAAAGTTGATTTGTTTTGTTTCATTTTTAAACTTTTGTAGTGCTAGTGATCTCTTTTTACTTGTGCATCCAACGTCAGAATGCCAAAACCAAGTTACAGATTTCTTCAATTAAGATCATGGCTTAGAAAACTATTTTTGGAATGTATTTAGTGTTGTAAGGATTTGACTGATGGTATATTTAGAATCTTGAATATTTATGCCAAGAAACATGTGGAATGGGAAGCTTCTAGACCAAGTCTGGCCCAGAGCAAAATAAATTTATTTATTTATTTGTTTGTTTATTTATTTATTTATTTATTGAGACAGCATCTTGCTATGTATGCAGTTCAGGCTGGCCTCGAAACTCACTGCGTTCCTCTGCCTCAGACTCCCAAGTGCTGGGACTATAGGCATGAACTACCACATCTGGCCAATACTACTGTATTATCTTGACCCAAACTAGAAGATTTCATGAAAGCTACCTAAATTTTATAAATAGATGTTTAACTGGTAAGCAACTACATCAGAATTTCAAGGAGAACTCACTTTTATTTTTAACCTCCCTTGAATCTTTAGTTAAAATTAGCAGGTATAACAAGCAGTTAAGGCTGGACGTGGTGGCGCATGCCTGTAATCCCAGCACTGGAGAGGCTGAAGCCGGAGGATCAGTTCAAAGCTACACTGGGATACAAAATGAGTTGAAGGACAGGTGAACTACATAGCAAGACTCAGGGGGTGGGGTGGGGGGAGCAATTAAATAATAAATGTACCTACAATTCCGTGCTTGCATTTCTCTTTGCCCATTTTTGCTATACTTTCTTGTTTATTCTTAGTTCTTTTTCTGTGTCTCTCTAGTCTGTTTGGGGTGTTTTTCTGTTTGTTTGTTTGTTTGTTTGGGTTTTTGGGGGGTACCAGGATTCAAACCTCAGGACCTTGCACTTGGGAGGCAGGTGGTGGAACCACTGAGCCAAACAAAACCCAGCCCCCTCTTTATTCTTTTTCAGATACTTTTTTCCTTGTCCTTTTAATTTCTTCTTACCCCTTTGTATCAGTTTTAACTGGCCTTTCAAGGAACCAAACTATATTTTTCTCAAACGTACTGAATTATAAGTTTCACATTGTCCCCACTCATTTTTCAGTTCAAACAGAAAAGTTCCTTTATGTGGTACTTTAAGATACTTTGTTAGATTTAGCCCAGTGGTTCCGCCGCCTGCCTTGCAGGCTCAAGGACCCAAGTTCAATCCCCAGTACCAAAAAAGAAAAAGATATTTTGTTAGAATATGCACAAAGGAAAATATTTCTAATTAAGCCTCCTTAAAATTTTATTTTCAGCTTACGATGTATATACTACATCTCATTTTTCTCTCTTTTTAATATCTTGTAGTTCACTGGTATTTAGGGAGAAAATTAGTTTTGTTTATTTTTGTTTTCCTTTTTTTGGTTTAAGAGTAGAAAAATTTATTGAGATTGCTCTTGAGAGACAGGAAATAGGAGAGGACCCCAAAAGTGGGTTGCCTTTTTTTGGGGGGGGGAGACAGGGTCTCACTAAGTAGTTAAGACTGACCTGGGATTCACTATGTAGCCTAGGCTGGTCTTAAACTCACAGTGATCCTCCTGCCTCGGCCTACCAAGTGCTGGGATTATAGGCATGCGCCACCACGCCTGGCTCATTTCTTTTTTTAAGCAAATCCCACATACATTTGTAGAGCTTGGTTCCTTGCAGTAGTTTTGCTTTGCATGCAAATTAGCTATACCTTGGAATGCTCTATAGTCTTAGAATATTGATAAATTTGTATTACAGATACATTTTTTAAAAAATGTGTAGTAGAAGCCAACTGTGCTGGTTCCAGGCATGTAGTCCCAGCCACTTGGAAGGCTGAGGCGGAAGGATTGAGCCCCAAGGTGTGGGGTTTCCCTGGGCAACCTAGTAAGACCCCAGCTCTTAAGAAATACATGATCTGGGCTGGGGATTTAGCTCAGTGGTGCCACTGCCTGCCTCACAAGCACAGGGAACTGAGTTTGATCCCCAGTACCCCCCAAAAAACCAAAAAACCGTCGAAGAAATACATAAGCTAGAGATATAGCTAAGGGGATAGAGCATGTCTCAGCATAAGTGAGGCCCCAGCAACACAAAAGTTTAAAAATTTGTAGCAAAATATTGTGCCTTTAATTTTCTCTATGTTTTTTTCATTTTATGAGTACTTTAATTATGAGACTTGATGGGTACAGTCATTGTCCACAATGACCATGTATTTATGCACAAAATAATATAGTGCTCAGATTGAGTTTATTGTTTTGCAGTGCTGGGCAGGTGCTCTTTATCACTGAGCTGCCTCCGGCCCTATTTTTAAATTTATTGTTACTTTTCAATATTCTTAATACTTTGCTTAGAAAGTAACTAAAAATGTTAAAATTTTCTAATTAAAATCTTTTGGGGGGAGTACCGGGGATCAAACTAGGGTCCTTGCACTTGGTGAGTCAGGCGGCGAAACTACTGAGCTAAATCCGCAGCCCAAAACTTCTTGAATATAGTTTAAACATTTAAATATTTTAGACTCTATACTCTGTGAAAACCCACAAATGGAATTTTGGAATTGCTTTCCTTCAGGCAGATTTAGTATTGATGCAAATGATACATTTAAGAAGCTGAGGAGCAGGGCATGGTTGTGCACATCTGTAATCCTAGCACTTAGAAGGCTGAGGCAGGAGGATCACTGAGTTTGAGGCCAGTTTGAACTATACCATGAAACTGTCTTTTAAAAAAGCAACTATAGGGGCTGGGGATTTAGCTCAGCGGTTTGGTGGCCTGCCTTGCAAGCACAAGGACCCAAGTTCAATCTCTGGTATCCCCCCCAAAAAAAACACACATAAAACTTTAAAAAATAAAAAAGCAACTATAGGGGCTGGGGATTTAGCTCAGCGGTTTGGTGGCCTGCCTTGCAAGCACAAGGACCCAAGTTCAATCTCTGGTATCCCCCCCAAAAAAAACACACATAAAACTTTAAAAAATAAAAAAGCAACTATAAATAATTAGACTTTATCATCCAGGAGAACTTTTTGTGATAATGGAAATATGCTATGACACTCCTTTGTCCAATCTAGTAGCCACTAGCTGTGTGTGGCTATTCTAATTTTCCCAAAATTTAAATGTGTTAGGATTTTTGCAAGAAGCAATAAAGTCAGATTCAAAATTTATGTCAAGTCTTTTAGACCAAGTCAGTGTCTAAACAATTTGGGGGAACTAAAAGTAAGCTGAGGACGTGTGAAGGAAGAGAAGAGGCCACTTCCGCAGATGTGTGGAACTACATGATGCTCAGGAAGGCACTCAGCACAGTCAGTTTCGACTCTTACAAAGGTTCAGAGATAGGTTGCTACAGTTTCCTTAAAATGTTCCAATGTGTGTTACTCTTACAGTCTGGAAGTCTTTTCTAGAATGCAGACAGAACTTCGTTCTAAATGCCCAGTAAAGAGTAGGAATGCCAGCTGTGGCGTTGGCAGTGGATGCACAGGTGACCCTAGCACTGACGCTTTGCCTTGTCCTTCCCTTTTCTAAGAGATACATTTGCAACTGAGATAAAATATTGGTCTGGAGCTGTGGTGGCTCTCGGCCTGCAGCATCAGGCATTGCGAGGACTGCTTTGTGTGCCTAACCCCACATCCCATCGCTGTGGGCAGTAGCAGCCGCAGATGCCCTGTCCCTGCGTGTGCTTGCTTCTCTCCTGTCTGTTTGCTAACGCATTATGTGAAGAGCGTGAGGAACTGTTTGGTATCATTTCTGTGTGTGGGCTCAGCTTCTGAGGGATTGTAGGATTCATTTCTTGGGAGAGAGCTGAGAGTTGCTATTGGAGCCATGGCTCTGTTGGAGCGGCCTGTTGTGTGCTCACTGCCACAGCAAGGTTAAATATGTTGTCTTGTGCTCTCCAAAGTCACTGAGCAGTGGGACCCCCTCGCTGATTTTCTAATTGCTGTTTGGGGAAGACATGGGCAAATGACTTTGTACCTGATCTCTCTTTTGTATGACCCAGGCTGAGAGTCTAAAGAATTGGCTCTGGGTTCCTATCTTTTGGTGGGGGTGGTACCAGGGATAGAATTTAGGACCTTGCGCTTGAGAGGCAGGCGGCATCACTGAGCTAAGTTCCCCGGGGCTTTTATCTTTTATCTTAAAATGATCACATTTTATCTTAAATGGGCCCATCTTTTCCTTTGAAGTTCTTTTTAAAGGTGTTGCAGTTCTTTGAGGGGAGTTGTTTTTCTACATAACTTAGGTAATTTCAGCTTCTAGATTTTTTTAAAACAAAGGTGAGAACTCGGTAGTAGGGCCCCAGGTTCTTGTTCTTTCTAAGACTGCCTCTACAGGGCAGAATGGCTTCTGTGATTTCAGAGATGATGGTCATTCAGCGGTAGGTAGAGAGCCCTGACCTTGTCAGGCTCCTGACACAGCCCCTCTCTCAGCCCCAGGCCAGAGCATGCCTCCAGGGCAGTAGCTTGGTGAGCTGGCCAGGGAATGGCCTTGGGGAGGGAGGACAGAGCCTGTGGGCATGGGGAAGAGACAAATGCCATTCTTTGAGCAGTTTCTGACTAAACTTGGCAAGAAACCTAGAGACCAGGAGTAAATTCAAACTAGATTTTAATATAACACATACAGCTGTATTATACAAATGAAACACTAGTCTGCTTGTCAGGCAGTAACATATTTAAGACCAGTGATGGTTCAGTGGTCGTAGAGGCTGGTAGTGGCATGTGTCCAGATTGCAGCCTTCGAGGAAGCCCAGCCGCTGAGGGGTGGAGGAGTGATGCTGGTCTGTCACACGTCAGTTGTACACGCTGCTTTTCCTTTTACTTTAGTTTCCACGGGCTCCCTCGCGCAGCAGTACGCACACCCTAATGCTACCCTGCACCCACATACTCCACATCCTCAGCCTTCAGCCACACCCACTGGACAGCAGCAGAGTCAGCACGGTGGAAGTCATCCTGCACCCAGTCCTGTTCAGGTAAGGAGGAACTCAGGCCTGCATGGCGCTGCTTCCTTGTTTTCCTCACTGAGTGCTTTCTCAGTGCCACGCACTGTATCATCAGAACACATAACGTGGTCACCATCTTTCAGTCAGCACATAGCTGTTGCTGCTCTAGGGTAGGAGTAGAGGTTTTGCAAAATCACATTAAGGCTGTGTGTGGTGCTCTACACCTATAATCCCAGCTACTCAGGAATCTAAAGCAGGAAGATGACAAGTTTGAGACCAGCTTAGGCAACTTAGCAAGACCCTGTCTCAACATAAAATGGGCTAATGATGTAGGTCAGTGGTAGAGTGTCCATGAGTTCAATCCTTAGAACTGCAACAAATAAAATTTAAAAATAAAGTCCATAATTGAGAATGAGGGGATTGAATAAGCTCTGAGGGGTTGGAAACCTACTAATTGAAAGCTAATTAATCTCCAGCGCAAAAAAAAGAAAAAAGAAGGCTAATTAAGTCTAGGGCCACTGACCTTTATCTCCAGCCCTTTTTATTTGGCTGTCTCACTGAATTACCCAAACTGGCCTTGAAATTAGGATTCTCCTCCTGCCTCATCTTCCTTGAGTGGTGGGATTATAGGCGTGTACCACCATGCCTGGCTAAAAAAATCTAATGTAAAAGTCATGATTTAAGATGAAGCAAATTCTAAAAAAAAAGAATTTCAACTTTAGAAAGTTAGAAATAAAAATTGCAAAATAGTCTTTTAAAAAAAAAGGTGAAGCAAATTCTTTCTTGCTTGGGACTTTAAAAGTTTCATTCTTGCCAGGGATTTAGCTCAGTGGCACCACACCTGCCTTATAATCACAAGGTCCTGAGTTTGATCCCTGGTACTGCCCCCACCCAAATTCATTTCTAAAGTTTATGTAATGGGGGTTTTGTTTTTTAATAATGTCTGTAGTCACGTTGGTTCAGGAAGCAGTTAGGGTTTTTATGTTTGTTTTTTGCACATTTGTCAATTCCCTGGGTCCATGGTCTTGTTTTATCTCTGCTTGAATGGGAACTTTTAAAAGAAGTCTCTTTCTCGAATCTTCCTGATGCTTTGCAGCACCATCAGCACCAGGCCGCCCAGGCTCTCCATCTGGCCAGTCCACAGCAGCAGTCAGCCATATACCACGCGGGGCTTGCACCAACCCCACCTTCCATGACGCCTGCCTCCAATACGCAGTCGCCACAGAATAGTTTCCCAGCAGCACAACAGACCGTCTTCACAATTCACCCTTCTCATGTCCAGCCAGCATATACCAACCCGCCCCACATGGCCCATGTACCTCAGGTAATCAGGGTAGCCACCTCTCTGTGAAGAGTGCGTAGGACATGACGGTTTTCAGAAGCAGCGAAGAGCAAGCCGCTCTCCAGGCCAGGACCCCCATGTGTGATGCCATTGCCTGTCTCCCTTCCTCGCTCAGTATACCTGTGATCTGGCCCTCAGTAAATGTTGGTGTGGTTTTGTAATGGGATCAGTGAAGTTGCTTATCAGTCGGTCTGTTAATGTTTTCCAGCTGAGACCTTAAAATCAGCTTTGATTCTGGAATGCAACCCAGTCCTTCTTTCCTTTTTGTGTCTGCTTTGCTCCGTCTATAGTTTCCTCTCTCTATATATGTCATCGTATATATAGATAGATATCTATATATATATCCCCTCCACACACACACGGAAGCCTGGCAGGAGTAGAGGCCGTCATTCTTGGCTCCCTGAGATGACTGCACCAGGCCTGGCAGCCTGAATGTCAGTCCCGTGAGTTCCAGGGCAGTCTGGCCGGCTGTTTTCTCTGGTCATCCCCCACCTGCTTTGGCCACGTGTTGTGCTTCTGGAGAAGGCCGGGCCTTGCATTTGATGCAGTGTAACTAGAAGCTGAACGCACCCAGGTATCCTGTTCTTAAGGTGTGGCCCTGGAGGTCTCTGGTGATCCTCCGGGGTGAGCCTGGCAAGGTGGAAAGGTGTGGTGCTGTCTGCATCAGCTGCTGACAGAGGTTCTATATAGGCTGGAACACATTGGCTTGTACTGAGGAGAACGGCACTGGAGTTGGGCTCTAGTGCTGTCTCAAGGCCATCCATGGAGCTAGCTGTTCAGGGTGAACTGGCTGTATTAGCTGTCTCTGCTACTTCATACCAGAGCTCTTAAGTGGGTCTAAGCAAGACCCACCTCACTCATCTCCATTTCCTGTCAAGTAGTGCGCCTGTGAGGCTCTGGAAAGGTGTGGGCCAGAGATATGATGCAGTTGGAACTCTGTCTTGGGCTACCTTGTTACTGGAGGTCCACAGTTGCTGGCACATTTGGAATCCATACCCTGCGGAGGTCAGGTGCTACAGTCTAGTGCGCTACAGTGGCTCCGTAGTGGGGAGGGGGCCATTGTGGTCAGTATGGGTCAGCGTGCTTTGATGGAATCAGCTTTGAGAGTTGGGGTCCTGCAGGTGTCTAGCAGAGGCTGGTGGCTAAGTAGATATGTGAACTTAAATGTAAGTTGAGGTTCCTAAAAACCTCACTTTTGTGTTTTTGTGCAGAAAGCAAAAAAGGTTTTTACAGGAAAGTCAAAATATGCCATTTGATTATGTGAGAGTAAAAACAGTGTTTTATTCAAAGTTCACGGCTTAGAACAGTACACAGTATGGGAGGCAGAAACGAGGGCTCTTTCTGGCCCTGCCAACCCCTTACAGAGCTGGAGTCTCACTGTCTGGGCTAAAATCTCCTTCCCTACTTGAACTTGCTGTCACTCGGTATAGGGGCACTGGGCTGGTCAGGTAATTTCAGACTGCTCTTCCCATCTCACTGGAGCTGTTAGCTGCGGCCTCCTCCCGCCATGCTGTATCAGTGAACCTTTCGGAGAGAGAAGGGAACCTGAGTTTCTTCGCCTTAACCGCCTGGTGAGCAGGCCTTACCAAGGGGAGTAAAAGCAAGGAGACGTGACCCAGACATGGCATCCGACAGTCCCTGCTTATCCTGTAGTGATCTGCTTTCCTATTGGAAAGGGACGTCTCTGTCAAACATCTTCAGGCCCCATAGGTAGCACCATTGTGTCTTGTCCTAGTTGAGAAAGCTGGTCAGGATCAGGCCTGCCCCTTTTGAGAACTTGCCCAGTTTGCAGAACTCAGTGATGAGCAGTGGTGGCGACTAGAACATTGTAGCCCTAATGTTTACCCAGGCTCACTTGGTGGCTGCCCCCCAGCCCTGCAGCTGCCACCAAAAAGGTGAGCCAGGGAATGTCCCCAGAGAAAAAGAGAGGGGCCCAAGGCCCAGCCTTTCCCTTTCCTTAGAGTCCCAGCCTAGCAAAAAGGAACACAGTTAATTTGTTGTTTAAGCCGGAGATGTTGCCTGTATGCGTAAAAGAGCTCTCTGTTTCAGGCTCATGTACAGTCAGGAATGGTTCCTTCTCATCCAACTGCCCATGCGCCAATGATGCTAATGACGACACAGCCACCCGGCGGTCCCCAGGCCGCCCTCGCTCAAAGTGCACTACAGCCCATTCCAGTCTCGACAACAGCGCATTTCCCCTATATGACGCACCCTTCAGGTGAGGCGTGTGTGTGCAGGGGCCGCCGGGGCACCCCAAGCATTCTGCTCGCACAGGTCAAATGGTAGGCAGGGCCAATGCTACAAGCCCCGCGCTCGAGAATAGCAAGACCCATCCAAGAGTGCCCAGGAGGGACTTCGATGGTCAGTCAGTGTCAGGGCCTGAGGCTTCTGGGAGCCGGTCTGTGTGTGTTCTGATGGTATGCAGGATGTGGCTTGGTGAGCAGCAGCAGCCGCCGCATTCGGGTCGCTGGTGCATGCCTAGGGCTCAGTTGGCCTTCCTTGTTATGAGAGGCTGGGCAGGGCAGTGTGTTCCTGAGTCCCCACAGGCTGACACGTGGGGGGTTATGGACATGGCAGATCGATTGTAGGTTGGAGAAGATCCTGATGAGCAAGTGCTGTGTGTGGACTGGTTTGAGTGTAGCGTCAGCCCCAGCCTATGCCCTGAGGGGAGGATGCCCTTGATGGTGCTCCAGTACTGGATGGCTGCCATGGCAGTGCTGCAGTCTCACCTGTTACTCTGAAAGCAATGCTGGTGCTTGGCTACTATTTGGGGAGGGGGTATGTTAGGGCCTTTTCTCCTCCCCCGGATCAGCAAGTCTTGTGGGAGTGTTATCTGAAGAGGTTTTACGTCTGACTGGTTTGTTTCTACCCACCCACCTCCCCATCCTTCCCCACCTTGGTGCAGATGGGAGGGAGGATGTGAATCAAATTTCAAGTCTTACTCAGCTAGCACAAGGGTAGTTCACAGTCTGTGCTACAGAGACACTAGGCTAATGTGCAGGGTTGCCAGTGTTCTGTTTAAATGTGCACTTTTCTTTTTTACAGTACAAGCCCACCACCAACAGCAGTTGTAAGGCTGCCCTGGAGGAACCGAAAGGCCAAATTCCCTCCTCCCTTCTACTGCTTCTACCATCTGGAAGCACAGAAAACTAGAATTTCATTTAGTTTTTAAAAAATATACGTTGATTTCTTGTAACATTCAATAGGAATGCTAACAGTTCACTTGCAGTGGAAGATGTTTGGACCGAGTAGAGGCATTTAGGAACTTGTGGGCCGTTCCATAATTCCATGTGCTGTTTCAGAGTCCCGCAGGAACCCCAGCTCTGCTTGCCAAAACTGGAAGTTATTTATTTTTTAATGGCCCTTGAAAGTCATGAACACATCAGCTAGCAAAAGAAGTAACAAGAGTGATTCTTGCTGCTATTACTGCTTTAAAAAAAAAAAAATCAAGACTTAGCCCTTTTACTAAACTTGACAAAGGTTCAGTAAATTCTTACCGTCAAACTGATGGATTATTATTTATAAATCAAGTTTGATGAGGGGATCACTGTCTACAGTGGTTCAACTTTTAAGTTAAGGGAAATACTTTTACTTTGTAGATAATATAAAATAAAAACTTTAAAAAAATTAAAAAATAAAAAAAGTTTTAAAAACTGATAAGCTAATGTGTGTTTGTGTAAGCTGCTTGTGCTGTAGGAGGTTGTCAGGGCTGGTGGGCTGTGTGTGCTGCTTCTGTATGGTAGTGTCAAATGATCTTTCTTCTTCACCTTTAGTTCTGCTCCAAGGTGTCTCTAGAGAAAGACAAGATTGTGCTATTCCTTGCTGGATTAGTGGTCGACATGAGGAGGAGGAAGGCTGGCCAGCATTGGGCAGCGTTGAAGGGCAGTCCCCCCACACAGCACGGATTCTGTAAGCTCCCATTTCCTGTCTTCAGAACAAGCGCTTGCTGTTGATCTGCAGTTGTCCCAATTCAGCTGTTTTACCAGTAGGGGGCAGGAAACACTTTATTAAAAACTGCAATTTAAAAATCCAGAGGGCTGTAATCCCAGCACAGGGGAGGCTAAGGCAGGATGATTGTGAGTTCCAGGCCGGCCTGACACAGAGACACAGAGAGATCCAGAGCACAGGCTGAAAGATACAGATATGTAAAGCAGTTTACCAATACACACAGACTTCTAAGTATTTAATATCCCCAGTCTGTGGAAGACAGAGGAGAAGCGTAGTTAACCAGGGTAAGGAGAGAACATGGGCTTAATTAAGCCTTCAGACATGGTGGCAACAAATCAAGATTCTGAAAACAATTCACATATAGCAATTTGTACATTATAGCAAAATTTTCATTCAATAAGTTACTTATACAGTACATAAACCATACATAAGAATTTGCCTAATTCTTTCTGCCTAAAGTGATAAAAGGTGAATCTGCTGTTTGTGTTACCACACTGTGCTGTCATTTCAGCCACTGGACATCAGGTGTGTCCTTGTTAAGAGGCAGTGGGTTACCTACTGTGAATGTGTTAGCATGGATATGACATCTGTGGTAAGACAGTCCTGAATAAAAAGCAGGAAGGAATCTCAGGCAACCCTCAGGGAAATGTTCAAGGTCTTCCTTGAGTAAGGTTAAGAAACTGTTATATACAGATAGTGTTCTCTGGCCCAGGATTTTAATGACTGGTATTCCTTTTCCCTACACGGTCCAGAAGTGATCAGAGGCAGAAGATCTTTACCACATAAAGCCATTTGGATTGCTGGTCTAAAGTTCAAGGCAGGTTAGTTGACTTAATTCTTTGGTGCTGGTGACTGTTAGTTGAGAAGGACGTGACGGTGCTGGGAGCTGTGACTTGTAAGCAGGAAGGGACCCTGACACTCCTTCCCTGTCCAGGCTGGCGCTCACCCTTGCTCTGGCGGAAGCTGCTGGCTTGGCCTCAGCTGCCAGTGGTGGTCACATTGGGCCTGGCGGGAGGGGCGTGAGATGTGCTGTGCCCAAGGTGGGCCAGGTAGAGCAGTAAGAGCATCCAGGCCTGCTCCAGCAGAAGGAAAAGGCATTGGCATAGTGTCACTTGGTCCCAGGGCTGTTAGGGGTCTTTTTTGTCAATGTATTTGAGCTGTCCTTGTAAACTGGGCGTGCTAGAGAGGAAGCCGTCTGGTGGGTGACTTGCAGTTCACTGTCATAGCGAACTGGGTTGTAGCTGTTCAGTGTGTGCAGAGCCTACACAGCTCTGGCACTGCCTGAGCGGGAATAGGGTTAAACTGGCTGGAGCAAGGAAACTCGCTTCACTGTTTCCTATGCAGACAGGAGAAAACAGACAACTCACTCATCAGAATTGCCTTCTTGATGACTTTTGTCTTTGAAAACAGTCCAAAGCATTGCTGACTTACTTGATTCTTTTTTTATTTTTTATTTTGTTTTTGAGACAGGATTTCACCATGTAGCCCAGGCTGATCTCGAACACACTCGTGGTGATCCTTTTGCCTTACACTCCCAAGGGCTGGGATTACATGTGCGCCACCACATTTAGCCATAATTACATTTATTTTCTAGAGAAACCTGCCTGTAGAAGATAAAAAGATAGGTGTCCTCCAACCTGGACAGCAAACCTGGACCAGTATTGGGTGTGTTGTATGGTCCATAAGGACACTGGAGTGTCTTTGGAGTGGCAAAGAAGTGGTTTGAAAGCCGTATTTTTTCTCTTGGTTTCTTGAGACAGGGTTTAGGTAGTTCAGTCTGGCCTTGAACTCACTATATAGCTCAAGCTTGAGGAAAATCCTCCTACTTCAGCCTCCCGAGTGCTGGGATTACCACCATGCCTGGCCTAAAGAGTAACTGGAGAGACCAAGACCTCCCCTGTGAAGCCTGGTAGTGTTGGTGGTCTGAGGCTGCAGGTTCATGCTCATTTCCCAGTCCCCTAGAAGCATTGTGCTGATGCTGGTGGCTGCACTGAATGGTTCTGCTGGCTGCTGGGACCCAGGCACAGCTGACTACTGTCACTGCCCACCCTGTCCCTCTGCCCTGAAAGGAAAGTTCTGGAAGGAAGCAGCCCCCATGAACTTATCACTTTGAAAGGCAAGTTTAGGTGGAGTTTTGGCTTCAGGCCCTGGCTGGACAGGGGCCTGTGGACAGACATGTGTGCTACGACAGGACAGACTGTGGGCCCTTAGTTTCTCTTGGGCTGTGGCACCAGATTCTTAGCTTCCATTTCGGCTTTAAAAAGGAGCCAAAAGCCCACTTGTGGGATAACTTAATAAGCCATAGACACGTGGGGGCTCCCTAAAAAGGGCCCAGGAACCTCTCTCCCCTTTCACCCACCCCTCCCCGCTCCCCAATGACATGCACTCTCCACGAGGCTGCTGCAAACCAGGGTCCAGTTTTTTATTCTTAAGGCACCAGGGTAGAACTGTTTCTTGCCACCCTCCTATCTCAGTAATTGCCTGAATTTCCCTGAAAGGGTGACCCATTTTGCTTCTCTGTGTTCAGGGAAGACAGTGGCCGCTCAGCAGCAGGTGGCTGTCCCTGTCCCAAGGGTGGACAAGGCCACCAGGTAGGGTGGCTAGGACTGTGAGCAAGTCAGACAGGGTTTGCATAGCGACCCCTGGCTGCAGAACAGGCATGGGTATGTGTTGAAACAGTGCAATGAAGTAAGCTATGGTTTAGTCTTGAAACCTGAATCCTTTAAAAAATTAATCTGAGGTAAAATGTTTAAAATCATTTTTGACCTTCAGCTTGCCCTTGTGCAAGAGCTTTGTCCTGCAGCCGAGAGAAGCAGGATTAGGAGTGGCCACCTGTGGCCTGAACCTGCCACGAGACTGATGCTCCCACGGGAATCACCCGAGTCCAGGGCTGCTTAGTGTTCTGAGCTTCCTGATGACACCCCTCCCCCCAGCAGGAAGTCTGTCATCAGCTGTGACAGTGTCAGCGAGAGAGCAAGTTTCTACTGCCAGCTCTGGCCCTCACTCCGCCTCTTCCAAGAGTGATGGGGACTGGGATTAGGGACCCAGGGCAAGAGCTGGTGGCATCTGCAGACAGGAACCACTTCTGTAAACAACAAGGAGAAAGCCGAGGACGGGCGAGACTTACGGGAGGCCTTTTAACAGACCTAATAGAAGGGTCACGTCCAACTGGAAAGAGCAGTTTAGTGTCCCTTGAATCTCTCTCTGGAAGGAAGGAAAGATCGTTACATTCACAAGTTCACGTCTTTGCTCGTGCTCCTCGGGCTGGGCCCACCACCATCAGAGGGGTGTGTACTGGTTGTCTATGGCCCGCAGGTGACTCCGGGAGGACAAGTCCATTTCATAGTCTGAGTCCCGGGCTCGACTGCCAGGCTCAGGCTCCAGGTGCCGCAGGCTGCTGGCCAGTTCCTCAGGCGAAGGCACCAGGTGGAAGATCTGCTCAGGGGGTGACGGGCGGCCTGGCACACCCTCGGGGCCCAGCCCTTGAGGACAGCCAGAAGAGCTGAGGTGGGCAAGGCCCAGCTCTGAGTCCCAGCGAGGGAGGGAGAAAGGGAAGGGGACAGTGTTGCAGGAACCTAGGACAAGTGACGAAGAGACCTCACGTCAGTCTCAGTACAAGTGCTGGCGGGACGCGAAACCACATCTCTGTGGTTGGGTCCACAGCAAGCTTTTACCCTCCATGTGGCTCCCTGTGCCAGCCACCCCTGTTAGCAAGAGGCCTCGGTGTCACACCTGGTGGCTGGGAGACAACCACGTAGCTGGAGAGCCGGACGTCGCAGGCAGCCCCGCACTCGAGCGGGATGGGCGAGCGCTGGAAGTGGTGCAGCATGTCCACGACCGAGGGAAAGTGCAGGTGCTGCACTCGGCACTGGCCCCGCTCCGTCAGCGACAGGCGCAGGTGCTGCAGGAGGCGAAGGTAGGGCACTGTCCCCAGGCCGAGCTCCGGGGGAGCAGCGGCGCGGCCCCACCGCCCTGCCTGTACCTTGGCTCTGCCCTGGAAGTTGAAGGTGAGCACGTACTCCCCGCGCCGGGACTCGCTCTGCCGTACCAGGAATACACCATGGGCGTCAGGGCCCTGCAGCTGCACCAGCTGGGCTGCCTTTACTCTGGAGATGGGGCCGTGGAACCAGGGGTAGCAGGACAGGAAGTGATCTGTTTTCTGGCAGGTGGGGTCTAGCAATCCCCCAGGAGAAGCACCTGCTAAAGAAGACGGGTTGGTGGTGACCCCGTGTGGGTGCTGCAGAGCCGGGGGTGCCCAGAGCACCAGGGCCTGGCCCCCTTGCTCACCATGGTTCAGGGAGTCTGTGCTTCCCCCTGGCGAGCTGGATGTGCTGGGCTCTGGGGCAGGGGAATGATGCATCTCTGTGTCCATGCTGTCTGACCTGTGGGACGAAGCTGGGTCTGAGGGGCTGGGTTTCAGGCTAGGGGTCAGGTAGGCGAATGGGGCAGCTCGGGGCAGGCCTCACCCTCGGCCAGTACACTCCCAGAGCTCAGCCATCCACAAGTTCAGCTGCTGTTCATCTCCCACCTCGAAGATGATGTCTGTCCTGTTCTTTACCTGGCGGGTAGGAAGGGGACAGATGTGTGAGTCCGAGGAGTGTGTGTCGCCCTCACCCTTGGGTGAGTTTTGTCATCACTCACCTTCAGCACAAAGGTATAGAGGTTGTCAGGCATCTCCAGGCGTGTGCACCGCCGGACCTCCTGGATGCTGGAGCAGGCCGCCTGCAGCTTGGGCTTCGAACTCTAGAAAAGGGAGAGGGGGACTCCAGGCTTCTCCTCATAGTTTTCCCAAGACTCCCCAGAGTGCTGGTGCTGCTGACAGGTGGGGCCTGGAGGCAGGCTGGGCACACCTTCCCCTCGGGTCCTGGCCACCACTGAAGCCTAAGGAACCTGTGCTGATTCATGGCCACATTCCAGCTTTGACAGAGTTTGCCTGCCTGCTGCTGGCGGCACACAGGGGTCCCTACCCAGTGACCTGCCACATCACACCAAACTCAAAGGGCCAAAGTGTAGTATGACTGCCCGAATTAGCACAGCCCCACACACTGGTCACACACGGCTGCACGCAAGGTGGGAGGCCACCTTCCTGGTCCTGACGGGCAGGGGCTGGTGCAGTGGGAACCTGTGCTCAAGCAAGAGGCTCAGGGGCACCCTAGAGCTGAAGAACCAGCTTCCTGTGAGAAGGGAGTTGCCTCAGAAGCACCACCACCACCACCACCACCACCACACTCCTCTCCCTTGCCAAGATCATAAGATTGTTTCTTTAGGGCCGTGTGATATCAGGTGGCTGCAAAGTGGGAAGAATCCAGGGAGGAGGTGGGAGACAGACAGGCAGCTGGCTGGGCTCCTCTCCCTTAGGGGATGCAGACTGGGCAGAACACCCCATGTGTTTCTGAAGACAGCAGGGCCTGGCTCTAGCTTGTTGTGTCTTACCCTTTAGACACACTGGACAGAAAGGGGTTTGTACAGCTGGGCCCCAAATGCTGCTGATCCCCACCCTTGCCCCCAAGCTTTGGGCCTGTAGCCCTGCCTGGAGAACAGGAGTGAGAAGCTGGAGCCTCTGCTTCCCAGGCAGGCCTGTGTTCCCTCCATCTGGCCCCTGGAAACTTTTCTTGGAACTTGCTTGCTCCCTGTGTGTCAAGGCACAAGGGCCCTATGGACCCCCCTCAGTGCCCTGACACCTTTCAAGGCTGTGGCCCACTCTCCCCTGACCTCACGGAGCTTCCAGTCCAGCATGGAGACTTCGTGAAGAGATGCCCCACAGGAAGTGCAGGAAGAGAGGCGTTCTCAGGAATCGCCAGAAGCCAGCACAGGACACCTGGCCTGAGATGCCCCTCGACTTCCTCTGAAGTGGCACAGTGCAAGTAAGTGGTAGCAAGACAGATGCAGCACACAGCCCTCACCAAGAAGCAGGCTCACTAATTGTCTCTGCTTGGGAAACTGAGCTTAAAGAGACAGCAGTAACCAATCCACACCCAAGCAGCAAGGGCCTGGCACAGAAGACCCCGTGCCAAAGGAGGACACAAGCCTCTCTCAGTGGCCTTATCCCACCATTGTCCACCTCTTCCCAGCCACTGTAGGCTGGACTACCAGCCAGGGACTCCTGAAGCCTCAGGAAGAGACCTCTGCTCCCTGGCACAACCACCCGCTGCAGCCTGGGTCTCAGCCACAGTCAGGCCAGGCCTAGCCCACACCCTCAGGGAGACTTTATGCCATATGGGGCCTGGCTCTGCCAATGACTGCCTTGTTGACCTTGGGCATGGTTTCCTTTCAGTAACATGGGGCTGTCAAGCAGGTCCTAAAGATAGAGGAAAGGCTGGAGACAGTCCCAGCCCCACTGTGGATACCTGGGTTGTCCACCCCAGCTCAAGAGCCTGGAGTAGATGCTGCCTACAAAGACAGATGAACACTGTTAACAGAAAATAGTCCAGTTTGTTGATACCAAAAAGCCAACCTAGCCAGGCGTGATGGCTCACACCCATAATCCCAGCACATAGGAGACTGACAAAGGAGGATTGGCGTGAGTTCTAAACTAGCCTGAGCTACACAGCAAGACCCTGTCTCAAAAAATAAGCCAACCTAAGAAAAATGGGCCTTGTTCCAAAAAAGACTTTTGGAGGCGGGGCGTGGTGGCGCATGCCTGTAATCCCAGCACTCAGGAGGCTGAGGCAGGAGGATCACTGTGCGTTTGAGACCTGCCTAAGCTACATAGTGAGCTGCAGGTCAGTCTCAACTACACAGTGAGACCCTGTCTCAAAAAACCAAAACAAAACAAAAAAGATTTTAGGTTATACAGATACCCTGGAAAAATTAGGAAGGAGACAACTGCTAAAACAAACCAGAGTCCCATTTGTCCCAACTCTGTGAGCCTCCTGGCAGCCAAGACAAAAGATTCTCCAAGGGATGACAGCTGTTGGTGCCCTTAAGTCAGAAAAGGGCTTGAAGTCCCGAGCACCCCCAGACCTTGTCCTTCCACACAGCTCACTCCCATCAGGTGGCAGTGGGGACAGAGGTAAAGAAGCCCTCACCTTGCAAACTCCCTCAGCCTGGTCCTCAGTGGTTCTCTGAAGTGGGGAGCACAAGAACGAGCCCAGAAGGAGAGTGGGCTGCAGCTAGAATGACGTGTTGGCCCTGGCCCACCACATGAGTGCACAAGCCAGGCTGCCCGCAGCGGCTTCCAGAGGGTGAAATTCACAGGCTGGTGACACTTCAGAAGTTCCCCAAGAGCAAGTCACAGGAGTGAGCTTTGCAGCATGGAGAGCAGAAGACAGCTGGACCAAGGAGTAGGATGGTCCCAGGAGGAATTCTGCAGTTGTGAGGGGAGCCCCCTCCCCTGCCCTGGGTCATCTCCAGGTGTGGAACAGCGTGCAAGGCCTCACATGACTCTCCAGTAGCCCACAGCCTGGTGCTTGATTCTGCTTCACAAATGGGGAAACTGAGGCTCAGGCAGCTTCCTGTGGTACTGACCACAGCACAGGAACACTATAGCCTGGCATGGAGCCTCTGGAAGTGGGCCATGGGTGAGGTAGGTCTAAAACCTACCAGCATCTGGCAAATGGAGCGTGCTTGATAGATCCTGGGGCCTGAGGTACTAAGGAGCCACTGAAGACTTGGAGGAGATGATGCTGGGGGGCCAGGCAGCCTGGACAGAGGCTCAGAGGGAAAAACCTGCTTTGGGGTGAGGTGTCCGGCTGAAACAGGGTGATATGCTGAGCCCCAACAGGTGGGCAATGTCAAAAGGAACTGCCATCAGCTCAGTCCAATCATACACTCCGGATCCCAAAATGAGTAACGTCCGCTGCTGCTGTGGCACTGAGCATGCGCACAGCCTTTGCACCACTATGCCCCTGCCTGAGAGGCAGTGCCCCGCATCGGGTGCAGGCTGCTGCTCAGATCCAGCACACAGCTCCAGTGCCCCTCCTCAGGGAGACCCTGCTGCCTGTAGAGTCTGCACCACCATTAACAGCCTGGGAGCAGACAGTGACCACTTGCTCATTTCTGGGCTCCAGAGCTCTGTGAGGACTTGGTTTTGCATGTGTAGCAACCCATCATGAGCCCAGACAGAGCAGGGCTCTGGTGCCCAGATTCAGTGGGGTCCCTTTACACAGCATCACGGGCACTCAGTGGGAGCACAGTGGTGTGGCTCCTACTGGGTCCACTCACCCCAGCAAGGACTTCAGGTGAGTGATGGGAGCCAGCACAGTCCGGCAAGCTCCCAGGCACACTAGCCAGGAAAAGGGCAGCAGAGAGTTGCTTCCTGGGTTTGGGGCCCAAACACCCACAGCAGCACTGCTGGGAACCTCATGCTGCAAGCAGGAAATGGGGACAGAGGCAGAGTCCCTGGCCACAGCCCTGGAGTCTGGCATCTGCCCTCGAGGCCACCCATTGTCCCCCTTGTGTGCCGCCCTGCCTGACCCTAACTACACATCTGAACAGAGGAAGCCCCCCTTCCTTGGCACCTGCCCCAATGTGATTCCTGGCCCCCCTTCAGCTTATCGGGCTGGCCGTAGTTTCCTGATGACGCAGCTGCCTCCACCATCGGACAGGGAGTCCCCTTCCGGTTTGAGGCAGGTGCCACGCCTTGTTCCCAGCCAGGGGAGCTGCAGGCGTGCCCTGTGTCTGGCAGCAGAGAGTGACTGGGAGTAAGGGGATTCTTGTCCCTTGTTCCCCAGCTGCTTTGGTGGCAAATGAAGGCAGTGAACCATCCCAGGAGCTGATCGGGTGTTAAGATACAGGCCACAGGTTGCTCCTTGCTCTGCCCCAGCCACTTTTTCCTCTCTGACCCAAGCAAGTCCCCTCCATAAGATGGGGATGCAGAGAAGTCCTGTGCTGAGGACTCCTGCCCCATGTGCGCTGCCCTCACAGCGTGCAATAAAGGGGTGGGAGAAGCTTCCAGGAAAGTCTGACGCTAGCTTCCTCTTCCCCCATTCCTGACACAGTCCCCCAGTGCCAGACCCAGAGACTGCCTCAGCCAGAGACCAGCAGGTGAGGCCCTGACACAACAGCCTCCTCCTGGGTCCCCTCCCTTCCCCAGGTGGCGGCACCCACTTCACGCTGAGTTGACCAGGTAGGTGGGAGACCATACATGGAGCCATCTGCCCAAGAGGGGTCCTGGGCATAGGGGGAAGGGGGCACAGAGACAGGTGGGGGCTTGGCTAAAGTCACCTGAGTGAACGCCTCTCAATCCCAGGAGGGCCCCTGCCCCCATCAGAAAGAATCAGTGACAGACACAGCCCCACTCCTGCACAGCCACACAATGATGGGCCACCCCAGGAATCCCACACTGCCTTTCGTGGGGACCAGGTGCCCTTCCAGCTCACCTGGGGACACTGGTGACCACAGCAGGCAGAGGGAGACTCTAGTCCCACCACAGTGACCACAGGCCACCCAGCAGGTTCCACCCAGGAGACTCATCCTGCACCAGCCACTACGCTGCTGGGCCTTCTGCTTCAAGGTACCAGCCATTCCAGGCCACCAGCACCAAGCTGGGCTCAACCCCCTGCGGCCAGGCCCTGAGCAAGAGGGCCCATGGGTCTGTGGGTGGTTAACAGTGGGTATCGCAGTGAGAGGGGGGTCTCCTGTGTCAGTGAAACAGCACAGGATGCTCCCAGCCCCACAGAGCAGGAGCAGCTGGGGAAGCCCCAGCCCAGCCCAGCAGCCTCGGTGCCAGGGAGGTGGAAAAAGCTGTGGTTAGAATCAAGACAGCCTCTGTCTCCAGCATCAGGCGGGAAATGCACCCAAGG